AGAAATGTTCATCCAACTCTACACCTTGTTATCCCAGTTAGAGGATAGTTCGGGGGAAGTGGTCACATAGTGGTTATGCCACTGCACGAGTAACTTAGAATCTTTTTGGTGTTTTTTACTTCTACATATATGGCTTAATTTGCTGACCCTTCCAAGATATCAGACCAATATCAGATACCAAGACCTTTCTCACTGCTATAATGATTTCTTTATCAGTCTTGCAGATCCCGTCCTCTCCACTCCTCTCTCTATCTCAAATAAATGTCCCATAAGCAGAAATGCCCATCTTTCAGCCAAGTCTCATCATAGCAGTAATATCACACTCCCTTGTGTCTATCTGTGCCCTCAGCTTGTCTTTCTTATTCCTCAGACATTAAAATATTTTCCATTGAGCCTCACAAAACCCACTTCTTTCTTATCTAACCTATGTTTCCTCTGCCTTCCAGGCACAATTACTAGCATTTTAACTTTTAATGGTGGCATTTTTTATCTTTTTTTCTTCTGAACTACTTCTGTCAGGATCACATCTTACCGCCAACCTAGTTTAAATTTGTCCCAACAGCATTCACAAAATTCACCTGAGGATGTTGGTCCTGTTCCTGTTGAGATGTAACCCATCAAACATGTACAGGTCCCAATTCTCCCAGAAACATGGAAGTTTGTATCCAGCCTGGAGTGGCAGTCTCCCATTGTGGCAGCTTTGTCCTAGAGGAGCGGGCTCGGCTTGGCATGACAGTCTCCAGGCTTGGAGGTCTTCGGCAGTGGCTTCCAGGTATTCCGGGTTCATTGTCCTAATTGACTTTCCCCCAACTGGAAATGAGCTGAGGTGAACTCTGTCTTAATTTTTACTCTTTTCTCCTTATCTACGACTTCTGTCATTAATACAGGTGCCATCATAGGGTGACTTATTAAACTTTTCATTGTTTTTTTTGTAAAAATACATGTGACAATAAATTACTTTTTTATTCTATTCTAAACTGTCTCAATGCCTCAGAAATTTAAGGCTCTCTCTCCTGCACCAAATCTCAAAACACACATTCATCTGCTCTGCCTTTCCTTTCCCATACTTTCTGCTGTATGGAACTGGAGTTATCAGAGATCACTAACTTTCAAATCCTGCTTTTCAGTTTCCTGCCAACTCCCTAAAGTCTGTGTGCAGGATCTCGTCTCTCTTTTCTCCTATGTCTTTAGTTGCATGGACCACAATCCTTTGACATGACATTGCTTTATGCCATACTTTAATTAAGGCATTTAAAACAAATGAGTTTACACTCTGTAAAACACGCGGACAGAACATCGTAGAAATTTTACGAGAAGTTATGTTTGGGTCAAAAAGCTTAATGATGCAGGAAGATACAAGTACAATATTTTGTTAATAATAGATTAGCACAGCCGCTCATGATGGATTGTTAGTAAGTTGTGCCAACTCAGTAAATTTGATTCTCTCATACAAAAATATTTACGTTTATATGAAACCCTTTGAGAACAAAAACATGTTTGAGAATCAAAAGTATTTCTGAAACTGGTTACCTCAGAAGACCCTCCTCAGAAATAAATTTATTCCAGGATTATAATATACACATTTCAGCCATTGTAACAGATGACAAAAAGTAAATCCAAATACATCCACGTTTCCACATGTTTTAAGAGAAAATTTGGATTTTCCGTTTATTGGATTTAAATATTTGCATGACAGAATGTTCTCCAATTTCATTGACATGACCTTCCAAACCTGTGACCTCTACCATCTAGAACGACAGGGCAGCAGATGCACGGGGACATCACCACCGGCACAGTCCTCTCCAAGCAAGTCACCACCCTCACTTGGAACTAGATCACCTTCCTTCACTGTCACTGGTGAAAATTCCTGGAACTCTTCCTAAAGGCACTGTGGTGTTTTTACCTCTCCACCTCCTTTAGATTGCAGCAAGAAAGTAGCTTACCACAACCTTCTCCAGGGCAATTAGGGATCAGCAACAAATGCAGAACTTATCAGCAACAACTGCATCATGGCATGAATTTTAAAAATGCCAATTTCTTTACTTTAGAATAAATATTCTGAGCAAAAGCTGACTCCTATTGGTAACTGGTAATGCAGTATTGTGCTTTCTGTCATTTAATCACTCCTGCCATACACCCTATCACCATGGTTCACTGCCTATTACAATTTATCTTCTCCCTTTAGAATCACAGAAACCCTACAGTGTGGGAGCAGGCGATTCAGTTCACACCAACCCTCTGAAGTGCATCCCATTCAAACCCATCCCCCTGTCCTATTCCTGTAACCCTGCATATCTCATGGTCAATCCACCTCACCTGACATGTTTTGACAGTAGGAGAAAACCCATGCAGACAGGGGTAGAATGTGCAAACTCCACATAATCTACTGGAGATAGAATTGAAAGCGGGTCCCAGGCGCTATGAGTCATCAGTGCTAGCTATTGAGTCACCATGCCGCCTCAAACCACCTCCCTGGCTTGCTTAAAAGTTGGCTTTCATGTCCAATATCTTCCGGTTCTGACACAAAAGCTATTATATCAAACCTGGCTTCCTGTTAAGAGGAACAAGAGTGGGAAGGCATAGATTTAAACTGATGTGTGAAAGAACGAAAGGTGATGTTGGAAAAAAGGTCTTTTTCTCACAGCGGTTAGGAGGCGGAATGTACTGTTTGGAAATGTGGTGGAGGTAGTTTCATTCATTGGATGATTATTTGTACAGAAATACTGTGCAAAGATATGAGTGGAGAAACAGGAGATTGACCCTAAGGAAATGATGCTGGTTTGATGAGCAGGTGCAGGAACGTTGGCCGAATGGCCTCCTTCCGCGCTGTAGCAATTCTGTGATCCTGGTGGAGCTGCGCTTTCTGTATCAACGGGGTAATACTGCGAAACAGAAATTGTGGGAAAAGCTCAGCGGAGAGAAAGCAGAGTCACCAGACCCGGAACGTTAACTCTGATGAGTCTCCATAGATGCTGAGTTTTTTCCGGCAATTTTTGTTTCTGCTGGAGGATTTGTATTTTTTCGGGGTTTGTGTGTGTATGTGTTGGGGGCGGAGGGAGGGAATAACGCGAGTCTAGCTGCAGATAATTGTCGATGCTGGCAATTAAGCTGTAGTATGGGGAGAGAGTGTTGCACTGTCAAAGGTGGAGCATTCGGTGAAACATTAAACCGAGCCCTCTATTTGGAGGAGCAGGCGTTATTTCCCTTACCGCCCTTAACCAAATCCGAAAGACAGATTACACCTGGTCTTCAGAACAGGTGATGTTCGCTGGAGCTTGCTGCCTTCCTTAAACAGTAATGGCAAGGTGAAGCGCTCCAGCTGACTCTAATGCACTTTGGGGGGGAGTCAGGAGGTGTGAAAGGCGACGTACGGATGTATTTTCATTGACTTTTTACATCGAGATGGACACAGATGGACACAGCCCCGTGTCCCAGATGTTGCAATGACCGCTTCCAGCGTTCACTGCCCTTGCTTATATCGGATCCCTGAGCAGCCGTTCTGGCTGTGTGTAGGCGGCGCGGGTGCAGATCCGCGAGGGTTAATGGGAGTTTGCCAAGAGCCTTTAGTGTGAGTGGAGGGTGCGGATGTGAGTTGGAGACGCTGCTTGGGTCTCTCCTCCTCCTCGCCCTCAGTCCCACTCGGCGCTCCGCCTGTCTGCTCCATTCCACCCCAGTCCGGCCAAAAAAAAAGAACAAAAAAGCCCTGTTCATTCACCCGCTCGGGTCGGGAGCTGTTGATATTGTTGCCTTTTGGAGTCGGGCTCGCTGTACGATGGTGGTGATGAGCGCGTCTCCCCACCAAGCCCCGGGAGCGGACTCTCAGCTGATGGGACCGAGTCGCCTCTCAACCTTCACACACACAGAGTAAAGTCAGCTGCCGGGTTCAAAACACCTCTCTCCCGGAGATGTCCGCTCAGGGTTTGTACCAAGGTGGAGGTGCTGCCGGAGGAGGAGGAGGAGGAGGAGGAGGAGGTGGTGGTGGATGGTTAAACACGGTTCTCTTTTGCTCCTCGCCATCGGCCAAGACCATGTCCAAGAGAAAACTGCGCCAGACCAGGAGCCTGGACTCGGCGATTATTCGGGGCTACGGCACCGACAGCGAGCTGGCGGCGGACGATTTCGATACGCCCCGGAGTACCTGCCTGAGGTCCAAGTACGCGAGTGCCAGCAACCCCTTGTCTCCTCGGAGCTCGGCCGAGAGCTTGGTCAGCACCCGCTCGCTGCGGTACAGGCAGTGCCCCCGCTCCCCGCTGGAGAAGTCTCTCTCCGCCAACTTCAGCTTCGACTACGATCCCAGGGGAGGTGGGAAGAGAACCGCCACCTGGGACCTCTCCTTCCTCCCCAGGAACCAGTCTCAAAACCTGGCCAGCAACACCTTGTTCTCCCCGCGGAAGTGGCTGCAGAGGAAGTCACATCAAGCTAACAGCCAGTCCTACATAGTCTGGAGGTCAGAGGTAGGGATTACGAATTTAACCCGTGTCAAGAGTTTTGATGTGTGTATTGTTGGTGTGAGGTGTAGCATCGCCTTGCTAGGCGGCGAGTCGAACTTGTTATCTTCATTGTCAAATGTGGCAATGCGGATGATGCTGTGCATCCAAGAACTGAGAATGACTGAACCCCCATTCAGTGGCGCGCACTGTCCCTAATGTCTTCAGGCTGCACAGATAACTGGGGTTATCAACCATACCCGTGGCATATCAGATACAATTAGTCATCCGAAGAAACACCTGCAGTTTTATGTTTTGAAGGATAAATGTCATTCTCGGTTCAACTCCATCAGCTGAGAGCTATTCTGACCAATCAACGTTTTTGTTTCTGTTTGCTGTTTTGTTGCAATAATTGCTTTGTGAATGAATGTTGGTGAAACTATCAGGAGACCTGAAATGATCCCCATTAATAATATTGGGAGATTGAGATAACAAGTGTGTAAATTAACCCAGGGTATTTCAGGAGGCCTGTCATTTCATCATTTGGACTGACTCAATTCCCCAAATTGGGTTCTTGTGGCACAGTGGTAATTTCCCTACCTCTAAGCTAGAAGATTCAAATCCAAATCCTACCTGCTCCAAAGATGTGTAATAATATCTTTGAACAGATTTATTAGAAAACATCTATCCTCCAAACTGGTCTCCACAGATGATGCCATAGTTTCCCTGCTAAAGTGAAACCACGACAATAACAGGTTGAATACAATGAACAGGTTGTTGCAGTTATTCTAATATTTTATGTTAAAGGCTTTTCTGATTGTTATGAAATAGTGCACATCTCACCCTGATTTTGAAGGGATAGGACAACACAATCCAGCTTGCAACTCATCAAGGTGACTGGAAACAAAACTTACGCTGCTCTGAGAGATGACTAGATTATTTCTACCTTTATGCACTGACTGTCAGTGCTGGCATATGCCATGTCTGGAAATCAATTACTTAATAGCGAGAAACCAGTATATTCCTAGTGTAGTCTCTCAAGCAAGAATGTGCAACAGCTGTTTGTATCAAAGTGTTTGGAAAGTCTTAGTGACTGCTAAAACCTTTTGGAGTTAACTACTTATTCAATGTTCAGTTCTATAATATCACCTCTATTTTCTATTGTTTAAAAAGTAATTTTTATGCACTCCTTGAATGCAACTCACGTTTATGCTGGAGTGATATGAACAACATGGAAGGATCTAATCCAGTGACTTTAGGTCATCAAACAGCAAGAAGCCTACAGTTAGGGGAAAGTGCTGTGAAATAACTGTAAATTCTTTATTCAATTGAAGCTCAATTATCATTTAAAAATCCAAAGTGAAATAATGTGTAAAATTAGTCATAAGAAATTCACATTATTTATGGCCCAATATGAAATGTGATGATCAGTTGAATTCTGATTATTTGAAAATATTAAAAACAGCAGTTCACTTACAAAAACATTAACATTTTTCATTTTAACCTGCTTTGTGATGTGCTGTCCTTTTTTTTTTGCAAAAGCTATTATGGTATTGTGGTAGTATTTTACTAAAACATAAACTGGACCATAAGAAACATTTACACTATGCCATTTCAATTGTGAAAAATACCCAGCAGGCCAATTTTAGAACATAACCTTAAAACATTGTATAGAGTGAACATTTTGAGATCTTATAACACCAACCTTTCACAACTTTAAGAAGTTTCAAAGCACATTTAAGTCAATGAACTTTTTGAAGTGTAGTCACAAGGAGATCTCACAGGCAGTGAGATTTACATGCCAGATAGCCTTCCAACTCCATTTTGAATTAGCCCCCTTCCTCCCTCTCTTCCCCCCACCCCCACCCTTCCCCTCCTTCATCTTTTGTTGCCTGCATTGCCTTTAACAGGCTTTGCATGTAAATGAATCAGTTGGAAAACACGGGTGCATTGGTGGTGGCGAATAGGTAAAAATTGCCACAAGTGATTTGGTGGTGGGAAAAGCCAATCAGATGTGTGAAAAGGCTATTCTGGATATTAAAAATAATTTTTAAAGAATGCCAAATAGCTGGTTTGCAGGTTTTGGCTGAAGGATAAATGCAGGCAGGATACTAGGAGATACTTGTGCGTTAGATTGGGGAAGGACGGTGGCTCAGTGGTTGGCACTACTGCCTCACAGCCCCAGGGACCTGGGTTCAATTCTATCCTTGGGCAACTGTCTGTGTGGAGTTGCACGTTCTCCCCATGTCTGCATGGGTTTCCTCCGGGTGCTCTGCTTCCCTCCCTTAGTCCGCAGATGTGTAGGCTGGGTGGATTGGTCGTGCTATACTGTCCAGGGATGTGCAGGATAGTTGGAATAGCCATGGGAAATGCAGGGATAGGGTGGGTTTGGGTGGAATGCGTTTTGGAGGGTTGGAGTGGACTTGTTGGCTGAATGGGTCCATCCTTCTGTGCTATAGGTATTCTAGATACCTAATTTAATGCTTCATTTGAAAAAAAACACCTCTTCTTCTGCAGCAACCCCTCGGTGCTGCCCTTGAGTGTTAGCTTAGATTATTTGATTAAACCTCTGGCATGAGACTTGAACCCACAAATGTCTGACAGCAAAGCAAATTTTGTTATCACTGAGTTACATCTGAAAAACTACAGATGGAAACAACTCTGAATGATCATCGTGAAGTAATAGTATAGCACATCAGTGAAGTTTATTGGCTTAAGTGCAAGATTTCCTGTTATTTACATTGACTGACTTGATAAGCTTGATGTCAACTTTGCAGTTCACTCTTCCAAGTATAAATAAGAGTAGAGTATTGCCAATGAATAAAAAATAATGTTTTGGACAACCTTTTGATCAAATAGCTTTGTCAAAAACACTTTTGAACATTAACTAAATGACATAAGCAACATGCTGTAATCATGATTGACACAGTCTAGTTTTGGCAGACATGGTGGTTATGTGAAAATGATCTGTCAAAATATTTAGTTTGTTATACTTAATGACCTTTGCTTTATTCTAAAAATATTGGACCTGAACGTTCATCAAGAGATATCATCACGCAAAATATTTAACCCAACTGTCTGAAATTTCTCTTTTGTTCTTTCTTTTAGTAAATATAAATATGTGAATTCATCTCAATAATGAGTTAACACCTTTGCTAAGGATCATGACATAGGTTAACACTTCTGTTAAGATAGACAAAGAAGAAATGCAGATGGATGTAAACTGTGGTGAATGTTGAGTGCCTTTATGTTTTTGCATTTTAGTCTAGAAACTAGTCTGATGATTATGTCACATTCTGAAATAATCTGATGTGTTAAAAGCAAACCATGAAGTCATTATAGGGCTGCTCGCTCTCCAAGATTACCTTGGAGTCTTCAGGAATTAAAGATTAATCTGCAAGTTGCTGCTGCAACCAACCCGAGGTGCATTTGAAACTGTGAGCTTACCAGAAATAAAAGTTGTCATTTTTCTTATGTTTCATAAACGAAAAGTTTCACGCCAGGAGTTCTGGCAATGGCACCATATTTAAAGAGGCCATGTGCACCCATTCAAGTGCTGTCAACCCAGAGCTGCCTTGTACAGTTTGTGACATTTGCCCCTATTGTGGCAGATAAAGGGATATTGACACCCTGCTTTGTGGTCAGCAATCTGGAAGGTCTTGGTGGACATGGTTGTGCCAAAGTGGGTTTTAGAGGCTTAAAAAATCACGAGGGGCATGGATACAGTGAATAGGGTAGGGGAATCCAAAACTAGAGGGCATAGGTTTAAGGTGAGAGAGGAAAGATTTAAAAGAGACCTGAGGGGCAAAACTTTCAGGCAGAGGCTGGTGCGTGTATGGAATGAGCTGCCAAAGGAGGCAGTGGAGGCTGGTACAATTACAGCATTTAAAAGGCATTTGGGTACATGAACAGGAAGGGTTTAGCGGGAAATGGGCCAATTGCTGGCAAATCGGACTAGTTCACTTCAGGATATCTGGTCGGCATGGGCGAGTTGGACCGAAGGGTCTGTTTCTGTGCTGTATAACTCCATGACTGCATGTTGGATGATAAAGGTCCATGGACTTGGGGTGCATGTGATTGCTGCCCATTGCATGTATTCTGAGATCTGGGAGTTAATGTCCAAGATAGAGGTCCAAAACAGCAAGTGGCAAGCTGGAGTCACCTGGTAACCAGTCTGATCTTCATATCAGGAATTCTAGGCTTCTAGTTTCTATTTGGTGGGTAGTAGAATAAGAAACTGCATATTTATGAGGGGAGATTAGGTAATAATGATGTGATAATGAGCAGTAATCCCTGTTACTGGCTCCTCACCAGCACAAATCTTGTCTTGATGTCCAGGACTGGGTTGGTTGTCTTTGATCTTGACATTGAGAAAGGTCTTGCTGCACATCTCACCTGATTTTTCTCTATTTCTCACCAGAGCCCACCTCATTAAAGGACTGGGAAGGCTGGCAAGATTCTGCCTTTGTTTTTGTTCTATTAAATGAAACATTTTTTGAATACTTTTCTTTACGCCTGCTGCTTTTGATGTACATCAATGGCTTGGAATGGGCACAGTTTCAAAACTTGCAGATGACATAAAACTTGGAAGTATAGTAATCAGCTTGGAAAATTGTAATAATAACCCGGAGGATACAGAATGGTATCACGGGCTTGAGTGGATTTGAATTCAATAACAAAAAAATGTGAGGTGATGCACTTTGATGGAAAGGATAAGGAGATGCTTAACAGCACAATTTGAAAAGGGTTTCAGGAAAAGAGACAGTGCATGTGTATAAATCTTTGAAAGGTGACAAGACAACTTAACAAAGCATTTAATAAAGTATATCACACCGTGGACTTTGTAAAGATAGTCACAGACACAAAAGCAAGGAAGATAAGCTAAATCTACACAAAATATTACTGCAGTCCACATTGTAGTATTATCCCAATTCAGGGCACTCATTTGGGAAGGATTTGGAGAGAGTGCAAATGAGATATACTAGAATGGGTCCAGGAATTAGCTACAGCTAAATGGATAGACTGAA